TCGTGGACCCATACATAAGGATCTCCACCGAAGACCCCCGTGGCTGGGTTCACATGGTGATTCGGATATTTCGGCAGACCCTCACAAGCTTCGTGGCCCCATAGGGAGCTCCACCGAAGGCCCCAGTGGCTGGGTTCACATGGTGACTCGGGTCTTTCGGCAAACCCTCAGATGCTTCGTGGCCCCACAAGGAGCTCCACCGAAGGCCCCAGCGGCTGGGTTCACATGGTGGCTTGGGGCTTTCGACAAACCCCTCACGTTGTCGTGGACCCAGAGGGAGCCCCACCGAAGGTCCCAATGGCTGGGTTCACATGGTGACTCGGGTCTTTCGGCAAACCCCCACACGTTTCGTGGCGCCATAAGGAGATCTATCGAACGCCCCAACGGCTGTGTTCACATGGTGACTCGGGTCCTTTCGACAGACCCCTCACGCGCTCCGTGGTCCCACAAGGAGCCAGGCGGCGGACCCCTCAACGAGTTCTCGAGGTCATCCGTGCGCGCGCGCGAAGTTTTCAGAGGTGCAGCGGACCCCCAACGGGTTCTTGTGCATCGAGCGTTCCTGTTGATGGTTTCCACGCGTGCAGAATGGGTTGGGTTTTTCGCCATGGAAATTTTGGCACTCGCCCTCGGGGGGGGAATCTTTTAGGGGGGGCGGGGGGGGCGCCGCGCTCGAGACATCCCGCCAAGACTGTCCTCCGTTTCACCACCCCCCTGGTCCTCGCAACACCCCTGCGGGGTTCCAGAAGAGCTCCCGCGAGGGTGGTCTACGAGCGTCAGCCCCCGCATTACTGCAAATCCTGAGCGCACGTTTTAAATTTAGGTCGGGCATATCCCCCTACAGGCGGATTTTGGACGACAAATCAAAACTACCCCCCCCCCAAAAAAAAAACAAAAAAACGCCAAACATACTCCAACATCGTAGCAACATTGTGTCCCCATACTATCCCTTGACTATCCCTGAATGCTCCCCCTGTAGAGGGGCAGGCCCGACTTGATTTTAGACGCACGCGCACACCCACGGGTGGGCGGGGTTCTGCGTGGGCCCCTCCCCTGTTCTGTGCCCGGGGGGGTGAAAGAGTCTGGTCGGCGGAGGCCTGGGTTGGGCGCAGTGCCGCCAGCGAGACGTCGTGGCTGGGACCCTCCACTGATGGGCTTGTTTTCCACCACCACCACCACCATAAGATGGAGGGGGAGGGAGTCCTCCTCCTCCTCCTCCTCCTCATCCTCCTCCTCCCCCTCTTCGTCCTCCTCCTCTTCGTCCTCCTCCTCTTCGGCCTCCTCCTCCTCGTCCTCCTCCTTCCCCCCTCCAACTTGTGGTGGTGGTGGTGGAAAACAAGTCCATCATCCACGGGTGCCGAGTGCGTCAACAAAAACACGCAGGATGAAGGCTTGGCAGGTCCTGGAAAAAGACCTGGGGTCGAGGGCCCGTGTCCTTCGGGACCCCTGTCCTCGGTGGCAAAGAGTTGGAGGTCACCCGCAAAACTCCTGCACCGATCCTGGCCAGGCCAAATCCTGGGCGAACGATCGATGCACACGCCCATCGTGAGCCCAGGATGGGCCGCGAGGCGAGGATCTATCAGTGTCCATCGCCTGGGGGATCAATATTCGGGAACCTCGGTAGGCAGTGGATACGGAGATATTTGGCCCCCAGGGGCCCGAATCTATCCGTTAACCACCGCCTGCCGAGGTCCCCGAAGGTCGATCCCCCCGGCGATGCGAGCGCGAGCGAGGCGCCCGTGCATGCTCGTGCGGCGAAGCGCGTGTGCGTGTGCCCTTCTGGGCAAGGCGCACGAAGCCGTAGCCCCTAAAAGCCCTGCAGGGCTCTGACATCGGGCATTGGACGGCGGCCCTGCACCATGCACCGCGTGAGCGGCGCGGGGTGGGGCCGAAATGCCAAAGAATTGCCAGCAGAAGTGGCAGAGTCCCTGTGGCATCGGACTTTCCTTCGTGCTTCGTGGCGTCGACCTCCAGGAGAAGTCCAGGAGGAGGAGGAGGACGACAACGACTATGCTTAGATCCCCGCCTCGGACTGTCCTTCACGGCGACCCTGGCTGGGGGGGGGGGCACCCCCTGGGAGCGCGGCCTCTTCCCGCCAAGCCTGCCATCTGCTGTACGGCCCGTACGGCTCGCCGCGGGGGCGGGCTGTTGCTCCTCCTCCCCTCCCCCTCCTCCTCATCCTCCGCCTCCTCGTCCTCCTCGCGTCCTCCTCCTCCTCGTTCGCCCTCCTCCTCCTCCTCCTGCTCCTCCTGCTCCTTCTGCTCCTCCTGCTCCTGCTCCTGCTCCTGCGCCCGCTCCTCCTCCTCCTCCTCCTCCTCCTCCTCCTCCTCCTCCTCCTCCTCCTCCTCCTCCTCCTCCTCCTCTTCCTCTTCCTTTTCCTCCTCCTCCTCCTCCTTATTTTCCGCCTCCTCATTTTCCTCCTCCTCATCCTACTCATCCTTCTCCTCCTGCTCCTCAATATTTTCAGCTGTAAGTAACTGCTCCCTATCGCACCCCGAGGCTCGAGGCTGGTCGAAAGGGCGGGTCCGGCAATTCGCCTGAGACTTCCTCACAATTGACGATCAAGATGCTGAAACATTGACAACCGTTTCACAAATGGAGGGCGTCTGGATTTCAAGCTGTGGCCCTCGCCTTAGCACATCGTACGTTCGTTCGTTTCCATTTGCAAGAATGTCACGGATTGAGGGCCAGTGGTTTCAAACTGTTGCTCTCGTATTAGCGCCGCGCACATTCGTTTTAAACATCTACAAAAGCTTAACGGATTGCGGGCGGTCCGTTTTCAAAATGTAGCTCTCACTAGCGACACGCACACTCGTTTTAAATACTTGCTAGAGGTTCACGGATTGAGGGCGTGCCGTTTTCAAAAGGTGGTTCTCGCCTCAAGGCCGCGCACAGTCGTTCTAAATTAGACTGACGAAAGACCCAAGCATATGCAGCTGCGAGTACCGCGAGGGAGATGAGACGAAGGAAGGGGCGCGCAAACTCTTAGTAGCGCACGCGGTATAGACTTCTGTCACAGAACATGTGAAGAGTCTGCTGACATGAGCCGGGCGGACGCATGCGACCGTCGCTATCGGGGCCTTCCGTGGAGCTCCCTATGGGGCCACGAAACGTGTGAGGTGGGTGCCGAACTGAGGCGGCGGTCGCATGCGAACTTTCCCACTTGGGCCTCAGGTGGAGCTCCTTATGGGGGCACGAAACGTGTGAGGGGGGTGCCGAAGTGGGGCGGCGGTGCCGTGCGAACTTTCCCACAGGGGCCGCGAAACGTTCAAGGGGTGTGCGGAAATGAGGCGGCGGTGCCATGCGAACCGTCCCACTGGGGCCTTAGATGGAGTTCCTGATGAGACCACGAAACGTATGAGGGGGTGCCGAAATGAGGCGGCGGTGCCATGCAAACTTTCCCACCGGGGCCTGCAATTGAGCTCCGGGCCACGAAACGTGTGAGGGGTGTGCCGAAATGGGGCGGCGGTGCCATGCGAATTTTCCCACTGGGGCCTGTCGTGGAGCTCCCTATGGGGCCACGAAACGTGTGGGGGTGTGCCGAAATGGGGCGGCGGTGCCATGCGAACTTTCCCACTGGGTGGAGCTCCCTATGCGACCACGAAATGTGTGAAGGGGGTGCCGATATTGGGCGGCGCTGACATGCGAACTTTCCCACTGGGGCCTGCCGTGAACTCCCCATCGGGCCACGAAACGTGTGAGGGAAATGGAGCGGCGGTGCCATGCGAACTTATCCACGGCGCCTTCCGTGGAGCTCCCAATCAGACCTCGAAACGTGTTAGGGGTGTACCGAAACGGGGCGGGAATGCCATGCGAACTTTCCCACTGGAACCTTCAGTGGAGCTCCCCAGAGGGGCCACGAACCGTGAGAGGGGTGTGACGAAATGGACGACGCGCAGATGGCAGAGGCAGGGATGGGAGGAGGGTGGAGGGGAAGTAGGAAGGAGAGGAGAGGAGAGCAGACGCAACATCGCAGGAGCCAACACCGCAGGAGAGTTGGGAAGCATTCAAAAGTTGCACGGATTGAAGGCGGCTCGTGTTCTATCTGTGGCTTTTGCCTTAGCGCTGCGCACAGTCTTTGTAAACAGTTGCAAGAACTTCACGGATTGGAGGCGGGCCGTCTTCAAATTGTGACGCTCGCCTTAGCGGCGCGCACATCCTTTGTTAAACATTGCAAGAAGTTCATAGATTGAGGGCGGTTCCTTTTTCACACTGTGGTTTTCGCCTTAGCACCGCGCACGTTCGTCTTACGTTTTCAACAGTTGCAAGAGTTGCACTGGTTCTCATGGTAACGTACCAGAGACGGCTTTGTGGAACGATTTACGATTGTCAGGGCGCAACCGTTGCGTCGATTCGCGATGCTGAAATCCCAGGAGCGGTTTTATGGCATTATCCAGGACGTGACAGTCAGGTTAACTCGTGGCGCTGAAGTCCTGAGAATGGTGCTTTGGCGGGCTTCAAGATGTTCAAACGGTTGTCACCCAACGGGGTACTTCCCTCAGTGGATATGACCCCTTGTAGGGGCCTGTAAGGAGGGATCTTGGAGGGATGGTATATTTCAACGTCGTTGGTGAGTCTTGGGCCTATACAATCCTCCTCCTCCTCCTCCTCCTCCTTCTCGTCCTCCTCCTCCTCGTTCTCGTCCTCCTCCTCCTGTTCTTGGTTTTGTTTGTCAGACACCAGGGGGCCGCCGTGGGCAGGCCTATGCCTGGGCAGGGCCCGCATCCATCGCAGAGGCACTTGATAGCCTCACGACTTGCTCCCGGGCCGATGCCGTTCGGACTCGCCTCCCACGCGCTCAACCTGAACCTCCTCCTCCTCCTCCTCCTCCTCCTCCGCCTCCGCCTCCTCCTCCTCCTCCGCCTCCTCCTCGACAAGATCAACCTTTGGTGCGCAGCTTGCCGACCGTTGCGCGTGGTGCAGCCAGCGGCGTCCTGCGGGCTCGAGCCACCGGTCGCGCCCCACGACAGCCGATCACGCGTAATTAGCCGCGCCGCAAGCCGCCTCGGCGATGCACACCTTCGCCGCCTTCGCGCAGTCCGGGTTGAAGTTCCTCTCTGGGGGAGGGCAGAAGATCCACCCCGATAAGAACCACCCCGACACGCGAGGCCTCTAGCTAGTAAACGCGCCCAGAGAAGGAATCGAAGAGGGCAGGGCTGTTTAGTAAACGCCCAGGGCCGTTTAGTAAACGCCAATTGTCCAGTCTGGGTGGTTTTTCCTCCCTTGATCTCTGGGGGCTTTTCCAGGTTCCCGTGGCCAACGGCAACGGCAGCGGCAGCAGCCTATGGCAGCAGCGGCACAGGCGACGACGACGACGTCGGGCCATGCAGCGGCACTGCAATGATGACAGCATATGGCGACAACGGCAGCGGCTACAGCGGCAGCGATAGCAACGAGCGAGACGATGACGACGACGACGACGAAGGCGACGACGACGACGACGACGACGACGACGACGACGATGGCGGCGGAGGCGGCGGAGGGAGGGGGGAGTTAGAGACAGCACACATGATCGGAGGCAAGCTGGGCCAGTAAAGTAACGGGGCCCAAACATCTGGCGCTCCGAATTGTTCGACACGCGTGGGCCCCCGGATCTCCCGACCTTGTCCCTGGGGCCGTGTTTTCATCCATGATGTCATTGTGTGTTGACTCTGCCGAAGCCCAAAACTGGCCTCCAGAGGCCGAAAACAGGGACACACTGGCCGCCCCGATTTTTTCTAAGCGCGAGATGTCTGGGGTCTTGGATGGGATGGCCAGAGCTTGAGATCGATGACATCATGCACGTTAGCTCAGACTCGGCACCATCAAGCGCACATCGATGGCAGACTACAACTGCGGCGACGAGCAAGACGGCGACGAGCAAGACGGCGACGACGACGACGACGACGTGGCGGAATCGGCCAAGCATCTTCAGATGCCTGAAAAAACGAACCTCTGGCCGATTGTTGTTCGAATGGCTGGGTGTTGGTACCTGGACCCATTGGCCCCCCTGTGTCCCCCACACTCCATAGAACAACCCAAAACCAACACAAAAAACCTTTGGCGGTCCGCGCGGATTTCTTAGGCCGGCGCTTGACCCCCCTTGCCCTGGAGTGCGGAGCGCGCCAAAGGCGGCGCCAAAGGCTCCGTCAGGGAGGCCCCAACGCCGATGAAAGGTTATGTTCTTGCCGTGGGTTCGTCTTCGACCCACCATTGTTTCGGAGACCGAATTTCGGTGGCAACTCATGGGAGCCTCCCGTGCCATCTTGCCGGCTCTTGCGAATCGACAATGGCCGACGCCAGTCGACGCTTATCGACACAACCTCGACGCTAATCGACGCTCCATCGGTGCTTTCTCCTCCAGCAACAGACGCTAGCGCACGCGAATGCCCTCTACAGACGGAGTTGCGAGGACATGCAAGGCTCCCATGATTTGTTACCGAACTCGTCACCCCCACCTTGAGGTGCTGGCGGCGATCCCCACTCCGCCAAGCGAAGGGGGCGAGCGAAGAGGTCCTCGCAGTGCCCCTCCACACGAGGTTGCCGCGCTCGTCGGCCTGCCGGGCGAGAGAGCACTCGGGACGGGTCGGCGGTGGACCGTGCCCTCTTCGTGTGTCCCTGTCACCGTCCACGTCCTTCTTCTCCCCCCCCCTCAACTTATATACGGTCAAGAACTGTTGGATAGCGTGTCGCCACGGCGGCCCCAGGGACATGCTATCCCGTGCAAGCGGATAGCCTGTCGCACCGCTCCGCGGGGCGGGACCCTGGGAAAGGCTTGGAACATTGAGGCCTCGGGACCACGACGTTGATAACGTGTCACCCCAAAGCGCGGCGGGCCAGAACGGGCGGAGCGACACGCTATCCAAAGTTCCCGACCGCACACGTCATCCCTCCATCCATCTCTTTCCTCCCTCATCCCTTGTCCTAATGAATAACTCCCCCCCCCACGTCGCACCCACAGACGTGTCGGTGGGGCGAGCAGGGGGTTTGGCCTGAGACTCATGCTCCCGTCCTGCCGAACAGTGGAAGAGCCTCCGCGCGAGTCAACCCGAGGCCATGCCAGCCACAGCCGATAGATGAGTCAAGGCACATGTTAGGGATCGCCAGAAAGGATACACAACAACGGCGAGGAGAGGTGGGCGTTGGTAATCCTCATCGTCCTCCTCCTCCTCCTCGTCATCATCATCAGCATCAGCATCAGCATCAGCATCAGCATCAGCATCAGCAGCAGCAGCAGCAGCAGCAGCAGCATCATCATCATCATCATCATCATCATCATCATCATCATCATCATCATCATCATCATCATCATCATCATCATCATCATAATCATCATCATCATCATCCTCCTCCTGCTCCTACTCCTCCTCCTCCTCCTCCTCCTCCAGATCCTCCTCAAGTTTCCTCTTTTCCCTTCTCCTCCTCCTCCTCCTCCTCCTCCTCCTCCTGCTCCTCTTCCGCCTTTCCCTCCCCCTGGGTGGAAGGAACGACTCATGGGACGCAAGGGCACCGCTTAGAGTTATCTGAGCTCAAAGAGCACCCCTGAGTGCTCCCCGTTGAGTGGCTGGACGACAGTGGCATAGGATCTTACGCCCTTGCATTCGGGGCGGGCGCGGGCCTCCCCAGGGAGGTAGGCACGTTTGGAGCATGGATGCATCCACGCCTCGTGCCTGAAGCTGGGTGTCACAATCCTCCTTGATATTCGATAGACAGGCACGGGCACCCCATCCTCGCAATGAGGATTTCGCCCGGCACAAAGAATCCTGGCCCGCATCAGTTGCATTCAGAAGGCCAGACTGCCGCTGCGGACTCGGCATTTTCGCTTTCGCCACCGGCGCCGTTCAGTGGGCACGACGTTGGTCCGGATGTCCATCCCTGTCGACGGGCAGGCATGCGAATCCGCTCCTCGTGCCTGGATGCACACCCCTGTTGGTAGACAGGCACGGGCATCCTGCCCTCGCAAAAAGGATGCGCTGGAGCACAAAAGAAGGGTGGTCCGCCTCCGCGGCCGCGAGGTGGCAAAATTGCCGTGGCGAGCGCAGCAGCCTCCGGCAGATCCTTCGCACCACGAGCGAGCACGAATACGAAGGAATCTCGGGCCTCCAGCCTCAGGTCGGGCATGTCCCCCTGCAGACGGAGCTTGGACGAAAAATTAAGAAGATTCAAAAGATACTCAAAAATAGTCAAACGACATGGTCGAAAAATCGTCCCCACACAATGTTTTGACTACTTTTTAATTCTCCTCCTGTAGAGAGATAGGCCCGACTTAACGCCAGCCTCCACCCGTGGCGGCGCTCCAGAGAGGCCACGGCAGCCTGGCTGGCCGCCCCTGCAGAGGGGCAGGCACTGGGGTGCGCCCCTCGTGCCTGCAGCGAGGATGCCCAGGATAGGGAGCCACATGCCAACCCTACCCCTACCCCCCACGAGTCCTGAGGAGGAGGGTGGGGTTCCCTTCGCTCAGGAGCTCCCGAACGACGTGAACCCCACCCTCCCCCTCAGAAATCGTGGGGGGTAGGGGTAGGCTTGGCATGTGGCCCCTTACAGGAAGTGGTGCCTGGACAAAGCCAGAGGGATTTCTGGCAAACTGTCCAACAAGTCCACCTTTTGCTCTGGAGTTGCCCCGCCCTCGGCCGTCTTGGGCCGTCTTACGCTCTCTGGTACACCTTACACCCTCCATTCCCGTACATCTCACACTTCTCTACATTCTGCACTCCCGATGGCTTCTTCAGGCGATGGCAACAAACCACAGCCAAGTACTCTGGTCAGGCAGTTGTTCAAGCGACACAGGATCCACAGCCCGCTTCATTGAATGGATGGGCTTGATGACGGATCTGGAGATCTTCCTGAAGAACCCCTGGCTCCTGAACCAGCAGCTCAAGGCCAACTACAACTACCCCCTCCAGGCCCTCCTTTTGGGAAAGACGCAGCTGGGGCAGGAGGAGAACCAATTACTCTAGATGCTATTGGGAACTTGATTGCACGCCAGCTCCGTCCGATCCAGCACGAACAGCCATCAAAAAGCACGGCGTATCCCACAAGGACCTGGAGGATGCCACACTACCACTAAAGCTACACAGTGGGGACATGAACAACGATTTCGAGCTATGCAGAACATGGTTTCCAATGACATCGAAGACATGCAAGTAAAAATGACAAACATGGAAAACGATATGCAGGAGCGCATCGACAAATCAAAAAAGATTTCGGGAACATAGAAAATCTTAGTCCACGATCTGGGCACTCCCAGAAGTCTGCAGACGAATACCATTACAACGGAAAGCGTTCATTTATAGCGGTCATCGGCAACCTGGAGAACTTCGAGTCCGAGGTCACCGCGGCTGAGTTCATCGGGGAGCAGATTGCTAATATGAAGTGCCCCGCCCCTAGAAACATACATTCCAAAGGTGATTTCAAAGGCATTCTATTTTCAGAGTTTGGTGACACGTTGGAACGAGATACCGTTGCAAGACTAATCCGAAGTAAGCGTATCCGGCGGGGGGCGAGCACGGTATGGGCGTCTCAGGACAGGGAGCCAGCCGACAGGGCAGCCCGTAATTTTGCATTCGGCATCAAGCACATGCTTAAGGAAGATATGGGAAGCGAGTATATCATCAAGGTATCGGACTACGCTCCCTACCGAGTGCACGTCGGCGGAGAGCTGGTGCAGGCTCGAGACGGAGCTGTGGACAGGCAGTGGGAGGAAGGATGGGAAAATTGGGATGAGATGCAGAACCATGCACATATAGCATCATTAGTGGAAAAGTGCGATTCTGTCGTTCGCCGTGCCCGTTCTGGAATGAAAGGGAACCCCAAAGGAAAGTCGTGAGGAAGCCAAACCAAATCCGCCGACCCTGTCGGCGTGTGGAAGATGCTTTTCCGTTCGTCGTGAACGTCGTCGTCGTCGTCGTCGTCGTCGTCGTCGTCGTCGTCGCCGTCGTCGTCGTCGTCGTCGTCGTCGTCGTCGTCGTCGCCCTCCCCTCAGGCGCGCCAGCCAAAGCGAAACCAAAGCGAAATCGAGCAACGTCGCAGCTGAGTCGAAGGCAAAGCGAAATTGAGCAACGTCGTAGCTGAGTCGAAGGAAAGCCCCTTCCCTTTGATCCCTTCCCCGCCGGGGGGGGGGGGCGGGGGGGTCCTGGGGGGAGGCCCGGGGGGGGGTCCCAGGGGAGGGTCCCGGGGAGGGGGGGGGGGGTGCAGATACGCATCCCCCCCGGGATGTCCCGGGACCTAGAAAAGCCCCCAGACTGGTCAAGAGTGCCCCAAGAGGCTTCCAAGACGGCTCCAGAGGGCCCCGAATCGCCGAACCATCGGTCGAAGACGCCAAAGTAGCCTCCAGACCGCCCAAGAGATTGCCAAGACGCTCCAAGAAGTCTCCAAGAGCACTCCCAAGAGGGCACGAAGAGGGACAAATCAATGATTTCCTTACAGTTTTTTGACAGATTTTGGCGTTCTCGCCGTTTCAACTTGCCGACGCTCCAAGACGGCCCCAGATGCTCCCAAGATTGCCCCAAGATAGCCCAAGAGGCCTCAAGAGAGCCCCAAAATGACCCAAGAGAGCCTCAAGACCGCCCAAGATGCCTCCAAGATGGCCCTAGAGGCTCCCCAAACGGCTCCAACAGGAGCCCCCCAGACGGGGGGCCCGACGAGCCCTCGGCGACAGAGGCTCCCAGGAAGCCCCAAGATGCCCCCAAGAGGCCACCACGAGACCCCCAAGCGGCCCCCAGGAAGCCCCAAGAGGCCCCCCCCGCCACATTAGAGAACGCATGGGTCGCCCTCCAGGGTCGGCGGCACCGGCCGTAAGGCCTTCGCAATAGGAAACATGGGAGGCACTACTGTATATGAGCTTGGAGGCCAATGCCACCATCCCCTACAGAGACCATCCAGGCCAACATGCAGTTTTCCGAAAAATTCGCCGAAACTCCCGGTTGTGCAAAGCTTGATTCGTGGGTTTTGGCGGCCGTTTCAACTTGCCGACGCTCCAAGACGGCCCCAGATGCCTCCAAGATTGCCCCAAGATAGCCCAAGAGGCCTCAAGAGAGGCCCAAAATGACCCAAGAGAGCCTCAAGACCGCCCAAGATGCCTCCAAGATGGCCCCAGAGGCTCCCCAAACGGCTCCAACAGGGTGCCCAGACGGGGGGCCCGACGAGCCCTCGGCGACAGAGGCTCCCAGGAAGCCCCAAGATGCCCCCAAGAGGCCACCACGAGACCCCCAAGAGGCCCCCAGGAAGCCCCAAGGGGCTCCCCCCGCCACATTAGAGAACGCATGGGTCGCCCTCCAGGGTCGGCGGCACCGGCCGTAAGGCCTTCGCAATAGGAAACATGGGAGGCACTACTGTATATGAGCTTGGAGGCCAATGCCACCATCCCCTACAGAGACCATCCAGGCCAACATGCAGTTTTCCGTTCGCCGAAACTGGGTTGTGCAAAGCTTGACGTGGGTGGGGATACAAACCAGAACTCACCACGTCAAGGCGCGGATGCCCAACGCTCAATGGCCTTACCGGGCAAAGCTACCGGCAATTGCATGTCACTCTCTACGACGCCTGCGGACGCCATTTCGGACAAAGATGCCGACGGATCACGTGGGACGCCATGCACTCAAGACACAGATGCAACCACATTTGGTTTCAAACAGGAAGAAGACAGTTGGGGACGACCCAGGCGTCAACGCCGCCCGCTGAAGGATGCTTGTTTTGCAACTTGAAACGTGGAAGGCTTTGGTACAGAACGTACGAAACTGATGAAATTATCCACCACATGGAACATTCTGATATTGCTGTTCTTTGCATCCAAGAGACAGGGGTACGGAATTCAAAATTTTATCATGGAAATGGTTATCTGGTTATTCCTCTGGTATAAGCACAGAGGCAGCAGGGCGATTCTATTCTGGCGTTGGCTTTAATGTTGCTCCGTCTGCAAGGGCGAGAGTGTTTAGTTTCAAAGTGAATTCGGACAAGCTCGCCTCTTTACGTTTGCGTGTGCCGGGAGGTGTGCTCAATCTTCTCAGTGCGTACGCACCGCACTCTGGACATGACCCTGAAGACGGACGCGCTGCCTTCGATTTCTTGATTGCTGCATGGCCAAAGCGTGGCCACCATACATGCACTATGGCACTCGGCGGCTACAACGCGAAGCTCTTCTGCCAACGACCCGGAGAAGACGCCATCTTGGGGCAGTTTGGAATCGAATGCAAGTGGCCCCAAAATGCGAAAGAGCTTAACAAAGGCTTCCTCATTGAGGCTTGCAGGGCGACGGATGCCGTGATTGCCAACACATGTTTCGACCATGGGAAAAACAAGCTGGTGACGAACTATAGTCCCGATGGTGACCTACAGCAGAAATCACATGCAGCAGGTTTTCCACACATTGACCACTGCTTAATGGACGCGGTGCTGATGCAGGACTTGCCACTGGCATCAAGACACTTCTTACTTCAAGTATGGTCTTCAATCCCATTGGATACAACGAAGAAGAAGACGCACACATATTATGGGACTCGGGGGCAACGTCTGCGCAGTGCCCGCGTTCTGGCAGAGAACTATTGCGACGCGTTCTGCGGAGCAATGCGCGCAGAAACACTACCTGAAGATTTAAATAGACATGCTGAGCGCATCAAAACTGCAATGCAGAGCGCCTCCAAAGTGGCATGTGAGCACAACAAGCGAGCACACCAGCCATGGATATCGCAACACATATTGGACCTATTAATTGAACGAGACTCGGCGCGCACAGCGGGACGCAAAGAAGAAGAAATCCGCAATTCAATCCAGAAGGATAAGCGCGAATGGCTGGAAGAACAATTGCAGAATGGACCATGGCATGCTGTCCAGCAGTTCAGGAAAGGGACCGCCAAACAGCCACAACAAATCAACGACCCTGAAGGAAGCTTGGACAGCAACAAGCGTGGTGATGTATTGGCAGATTATTTCGAACACACGCAACGGAAGATCACGAACCCCAGTGCTGGCCCTACTTCCAAAACTACGCTGGGAAATTATGTGCCTGTCAAAACAAAGGCATTCACAATGGAGGAGCCGATTGCTGCAATGAAAAAATAAACTGGGAAAGCCGCGGGCACAAACGAAATACCGCCAGAATTTTGGAAGTATGCATTGCAAGATTGGGAAGCAGTGGATCAATTGCTGAGTTTATGCCATACGTGTTGGGACCAGACCGACTTACCAACATATTGAAAGACGGCTTGTGTTACGCTTCTGTACAAAAAAGGGGACGCGAGCTTGCCAAACAACTACCGGCCAATCGCTTGATTACCGGTGGGATACAAAGTCGTGGCTTCCATGGTCCACAGAAGACTCCAAACTGGGGGCGCGGAGGAGCGGATGCGAAAAACGCAATGTGGTTTCAGGCCGGGCCGAAACACTATTTAAGCTATCTCCATCGTGCGCAGAATGGCATACGCAGCCTGCGCGAGTTCTTCGGCAGGGTTTATTTGTATTTTTGGGAGTAGCAAAAGCATTCGACAAGATCAAACACGATGCGCTGATTGAGGCGCTGTGACGATTTGGAATCCCCGACAGGATAGTTCTTTTCTTCGCCGGGATATACAACCGACGCATATTCTTGCTACAGGACCAGGCTGGGGATGCGTCGACTAGGTGCCAGAGAGCAGGGATTGCTCAGGGGTGTCCGTTTTCTCCCTATCTGTTCATCAGTGCAGTCTGTCATGTTCTACGGCATCGACCAGAAAATGGAAGCAGCAAGCCTGGACATCCAGGAACCGCAATTTATGGATACCACAGGTTTGTCATACGCTGACGACACAATGCTCGCCAGCAGCGACACAAACAAATTGCAGTTACTACGGGACACGGTTATCGCAGAGGGAGCACTTTATGGGTTGGAACTTAACTGGAACAAGACAATTGCCCTCCGCATCAAGCACGATGATGTTCTATTCGCGCCGTCTTGGAGCCCAATTAGAACAGTGGAGCAGACAATCTACCTCGGAGGGCTTTTCACAGCAAATGGGGCAGCTCAGCCTGAAGTTTCACGACGAATCGGTGAGGCAAAAATTGCTTTTAAAGCTATGCAGCGTTGCTGATCGCACGCCAACATCTCCAGACATAGGAAAATAGAGCTGTACAGCGCCACTGTACCCCCAAAGCTTTTGTACAACATCGATTCCGTATGGTTACTGCAGGCGGACAAACGCCGATTGGACGGCTTCCATGCTCGGTGCCTTCGTAGAATCCTATCGGTACCCTGCTCTGTCATGTCGAAAATATCGAACAAAGATGTCTTCCAGAAGGCAGGACACTTGCCTTTGAGTCATATTTTGGTTGACAAACAAACGAAGCGGTACGATAACATTGCCGCCCTCCCGCACGACAGCTTGCTGAGGGCTTTGACCTGCGGGCCTGGATCTTCTGAGCCACGAAGGTGGGCTTCAAAACGTCGGCGCGGGAGGCCGAATCAGCAGTGGGCTGAGTGTGTCCACAAATTGTTTGATAATCCACGTCTTTAGCATTCCCTCTCGCCTCCCTCGCCCTCCGCCGCCTCCGCGCCACTTCCCCCCCCCCCCTCTCCCGGCGATTGCGTTTGGCAAACAAGCACGCTCTCGTGAAAATAGTGTGCATTCGCCGGACTGGCCTCCACAGAGTCTAGATTTGCAGCATAGTCCCATTGGTTTGACCATTCGTTTTCAGTGGAATAAGTGAGCCAACCGTGCTCGTTCCGATTCCCTGCCGATGCGCCGTTGCTGGCGCTTCGCTTGACTGACTGACTGCCCCGCCCTCGAGTGGCACAACATCAAGGTGCACCAGGCCTCTGGCCTCACCAATGGGGTTAAGGGGCCCCTGCCCCATATCACTTCAAGCAACCTCCTCCTCGAATATTCCTCCTCCTCCTCCTCCTCCTCCTCGACCCTCCTGCTCCTCCTCCTCCTCCCTCCTCCTCCTCCTCCTCTCCTCCTGCTCCTCCTTCTCCTCCTCCTCCTCCTCCTCCTCCTCCTCCTCGATCCTCCTCCTGCTCCTCCTCCTCGATCCTCCTCCTCCTCCTCCTCCTCGATCCTCCTCCTCGATCCTCCTCCTCCTCCTCCTCCTCCTCCTCCTCCTCCTCCTCCTCCTCCGCGATCGCCTCAATCCTCCTCGGACCCGTTCCTTCTCCTCACTCCTGTAGCCTGGGTCGACCGATCGGACGTGGGGGCGGATAGCATTGATGGGCGGGCTAGCAAAGAAAAACTCACCTGGCTGGCCCAATCCCCCCCCCCTGCCTGACCCGAAAGGCTCGCGTGGCTCGGAGACGACAATAAGGGCGAGTGGCCCAGGGGCGCGGCAGCCCAAGGGCGGGCATTGCACGCAGTGACCGTGGAAGTCTCGCTGAGACCACGGACAATCGGCGCCCCTGCATACGACACGTATTGCTGCCCCCCGACGTCGACTCCGAATGGTGGCCCCCGGGAGAGAAAGTACCCCGCCGTGGCCACCGCGGCCGGCCCAGCGGCCAGCAGCGCCCAGCAGATCGGCCAAGAGACGCAGTGGCGGTAGGCACCAGGGCGGCCCGGCTGCCTTCCACGCCTTCACGAGCGCAAAGTCCCCCTTGATGGCATGCTCCTTGGAGGGTTGCACAGATTGGCCACCAGACTTCCAGGTGTCCTCCTCCTCCTCCTCGATCCTCTTCTCGCTGCTTTTCTCGCCTCGTCATGATCCTTATCGCCAACATCATCACGCGGCCATCATCAATGCCAACATCACCATCAACACCACCGCCATCGGCACAACCAGTCTGTTACAACCACCCTCATCAGCAGCAACAACATCGATATCATCATCAGCAGCATCATCGCTTCCATCACCATAACCATCGCCATGATCACCAACACCGTCGCCACCATCCCGGAATCGTTTGACCGATCCCGATCCCGAGTGGCATGGACATGCCGCCACTGGCCGACTGATCCCAAAAGGTGGTGATACATGCTGTTCCCATCGGGTCTCGCAGGACCTGTCCCCACCCGGCCGGGGGGGTTCAGATACCATGACCACTAAATAAATTCCTTCTGGATGGGGCTGGAGTAAATGGAGTCGGCGGATCGCGCCGGATCGCCGACGCATCGCCGACGCATTGGCGATGCATTGGCGATGCACCAGTGGCGTCGGCGATGCATTGGCGCCAGCGGCGTAGAGATAATCGGGATCGACATCGAATTGCATCGTCGATCCATCGGCGATGCGGCGCGGTCCTCCGACCCCATCTGATTTAAACGGACCCCACTTGAGCAGCCTAAACTAATGGGGATGGGGATCGGTTAGCGGATGCCGACCATCCCTCCGTCATCGTCGCCACCTCCATCATCGCCACCAACGCTCGGCAAACGGGGCATGCGCACGCCGCCAAGGATCTGGAATACGTCGGCACCCGCGAACAGACCCTCCCCCCGGCTTGCGTGGGGCAGTCGCTCTCGCACCAGCTTTCTCTCGCTCGCTAGAGGGAGCTGACCCTCGGGTGCAGCCGAAGCAAATGTTGGGGAGCGTGACGCGAACCAATAACTCTCTCTCTCTCTCTCTCTCCCTCGGGACCCTTGACAAGAGACGTCCCGTACTCTTTCCGCTCGCGCTGTGGGTGGCAGCGCGCCCGGCGCGCCACGGTGACCCAGGCGCCAGCCGGGCCGAACGGCGCGGCAGGTGGCAGCAAGAGTGGACAAGGAGGCAGGAGAAGACGCTGGAAACAAAAATTCACCTACTCTCTCCCTCTTCCCTCTTTTGATGTCTTTCGGTCTGTCTGTTTCTTTCTCTCTCTCTCACTCTCTCTATCCGTCACGCTATGTCGGTGTTTGTGTGTAGGTATTGTTTTTTGTTTCTCTCTCTCTCTCACTCTCTCTCTCTCTCTCTCTCTCCCCGTCTGCCTTTCTTTATTTCTCTCTCTCTCTCTCTCTCTCTATATATATATATATATGTATATATATATGTTTTTCTCTCTCTCTCTCTCTCTCTCTCTCTCGCCACGGCCCCAGGGGCTCCCAGAAGGGACGGGCACCCGTGAACGGGACCCCTGGGGCGGCCGGAATGGTCGATCCGATCGCCCCCTCGCGCTCGCCGCATTCGGCGAGGGGCCTCGCATGAATTATCAATTAATTCGGCGAAGAAGGGAGGGGAGGAAAGGCGGGGGGCGCACGCCGCGGCAGGGGCGGCCCGGCAAGGGGCAGGGAGGGGGAGGGGGAGGGGGAGGAGGCCGGGGAGCCGTTTGCCCACTCGGGGTGGGGCGGACGCCGCCCCACGCGTGGGCGGGCGGCAGCGCGGCGGCCGCGATAGGGGCTGCAGCGAGGGGGAGGACCCCCCACATCCCTCGCAGCGGCGGCAGCCCCTGGCGGCAGCCCGCGGCGGGCCAGACCGCGCGCGAGGCCGCGCGCGGCGGGCCGCTCGCCAGGAGCAGGCCAGACGGCCAAGCGCCCTGAGTGCGCAGCGCACCGTCGGCGGCGGCGACAACGTGCCCAGGCTAGGACGCTCCTCAGGATCACGAAGGCGCAGCAGATCTTGTCGGCGCATCACTCCAGTATGGCGAAGCCAGGCAAATGGACTTGCATTGATTGTGGCCAGAACAATGATCCAGCCTCGTGGCAGTGTGCGAAGAAGAGTTGTAACAATACTTGGAGGAAGCAGATGCAGAAGCAAGCTGATCAGCGTCGACGCGATCGGGACAGCGCTACTTTCAGGAATGAGATCGCCAAGGTTCTTGAGGAGACGATGATGAGCACGAGCAAGTACGCCTTGAACCACTCCATGTACAGTCCACCGCCGAAGTCTGACGTAGCTAAGTATCGGAAGTCTTTGGAGGAGAGGATGCAGAGAACTGCAGAAGTTATCGTACATGGGCGGCGGCTAGGAACATGTGTCATTACTCAAGAGAAGGAGCTGAGTGTCATGAAGTGGATGATGTGGCAACTCAAACCTTGTGCCATCCAACGTCGGGAAGCAAAGGATAACATTACGAAGACGGAGGAGAGGCTGCACAAGATCGAGGGCAAGATAGCTACACTCAAACAGGAGGCTCTATATGAAGAGACTTTGTTGGATTACTACCACGATTTATTTCGAGAGGCAGCTGAGGGAGAGGCAGACACGACAGAACTATCAAGTACGGAGGTGGATATCGGTTACGACAGGAGGGTTGCGCTTCAGAAGGACGATGCCCGTCGACCTTCAACTTCGCCAGTCAGAATGGATCCATACGGTGGCACTAGCTCACGTACGACAGCAGGAAGTATGCCTGGGAGTTCGTCACACAGATCTGCGTTTTTGTCGTATGCAACGGTGCCCTCATCTAGTGCTCAGCAGACGCCGCAGCCTCTTCCAGTTGGGTTACAGATGCCAGAGCAGATGCAGACCCCAGCTACACAAGCGCCGACGACAGCAGCTCCGCGGATACTGCCATCACAGGTGACGCCGCAGCCACCCCGCAAGGAGGCTGATTGCTACATGACGGTTGACAGCAGCAGTTCAGTGGCGGCAACATCGGTAGTCAAGTCAGTGCCGAGGACGGAACTACTCACGAAGGAGCAGGCCAAGGTTTACGAGAGCGAGTGTAAGGCGGCCAGACACAACGAATGGCTGGAGCAGCAGAGGGCGGCGGCAGCAGCTCATCAGCACAATCTAATGTTACAGCAGCAGAACCGGCAGTTGCAAGTCCAGATCGAGTGCGGCCGTCGAGAGCATAGCGGAGAGCAACAGGAATTGGAGCACCAGAGGCAGCAACTTGCAAGCCGTGAAATGGAAGTACAGCGCTTTGGGCAGGAGGAGATGGCCAAGATCACGATGATCATGCATCAGCTCCAACGTCGTTCAGAGGAGGTTGACGAACAGCGCCAGGCATTCATCGAGAGGGACAAAGCCAAACATCAGAAAGATACCGAGGACATGGAACAGTGGAAGCGAAGTCAGATGGCAAGAGTGGCTTGTGAACTCAGAGAGGTGCAGGAGATGAAGGCCGAGAACGACGAGCAGTACCAGAAAGTTTGGCTTGAATTAGCGGAGCAGCGGCAACAAGATGAAGTACGACAACAGCAGCTCGTTGAGGCAGTCCGATCAGCAGAGGCTCGTACTCAGCACTATGAAGGTGAGATCGGACGGCTTCGTGCTCAAAAAGGGAAAGGAATTACTCCGCGATCGAATCGGACGAACCCATATGGTAAGACAGGAGTATCCAGAGTTCAGCCTGGCAGCAGCTTGGAGAACGAGACGGAGAAGTTTGAAGCCGAATTGCTTTTGCAGAAGAGGCAGGCTGAGCGCGACAGCGAGATGTACATCGACTACGAGTGCCAGAGGTATATGGCGGGTTCGCCGTTATGTTCTTCAATTTACTCCTCACCACCCTCTACCATGACCAGGGCAGTGGATGTTGCGCTTGCTGATGAGGACGCTGCTCGACAGCAGGAAGAAGCTGACTTTCAAGAATGGTTACGTGCAGAACGGCAGGTCTATGCATTTGAAGAGGTACGGATGTCAGTGGTTCGGAATGCAGAATACAAGGAGGCAGAGCAGCGTGAGGCACAGCAGCGAGCCGAGCACCGACAAGAAGTTCAAGTTGACTCTGTGCACTCTTCACCGACGGCGGTACCTGAACTATCGGCTGAAGTTGCTCGGGATATGCCTCCAAATCGTTATTCCACTACGATGGACTCTGCAGACGCAGTTTCGACAGAAGACATCATGGACGCAGCTCAGAGGTATGATCGGGAAGTAGCAGCTGAACTTGAGGCCATTCAAGAGGAGGAAATCAGCCTTTTGATGCACGACAGAAAGGTAGCCAGAGAAGAACAAGAAGAACAATACCAGGATGAGTTAGCCAAGTACGGACTCGAGGTCGTACAACAACTAGCGGAGGAGGTCGGCCGTGGAGATGAACATCGTGACGGGTGTCTGGATGCTGCAGATGTTGAAGATGAGGTACCTTCAGACGCGGCTCAGCATGCATTTCGTTCAGGGGAGGAGGACACTGACAGGAGCACGGTGCACAAAAGGCCAGCGCGGAAGTATGGGAGACAATTCTTGTACCCTCGTGTTCCGCCTCTTACTGAAGATAGTCGCACACGTGATGAGAAGACGAGAGGTGGAGTCGCCACCACGAGCGGCGAATGGTCGTCAAGCCAGGCTGTTGAGCAAGGTGGAGCTGACGACATACATCGTTCTCGAGTACCTACTGATTCACGTCGTCAGCAACCAGTGGATGTTCCTCCTGATCACCGCGAGGAGGAACAAGGCGCGTCCCAGCGCCCCTGAGCGCATGGGAAGGGTCTCAGCCAGCGTCGGGGGCTGAGACCTCAGCGGAGATTATGGCCCACGCTTTACGGGTTCCCAGTCTTGGACTGAGTGGGCTGGGAACCTCCGTCAGAGTAGATGCTCGATTTCTAAGTGACTTTGCGGACTCGTCCGCACATATACCTCAGCAAAGGTTGGGAAGCGGAGCTGCTCCAGTGGTTTGTGGCAATCACGATGCACAACTCATCGAAGGCACTCCGAGAGCCGAAGAAAGGCTCGGGCACCTTGACGCCCAGGTCTCACCTCAGTATAATTGCTATGGACGTTTTTGCTCACTGGAGACGCCTGAGCCACTACAC